CAAAAGTTCTTTTATTCATTCATTATTTAATTGAATTTATAAAATAGGAATGTATGACAACAAGTCATCATACTCTTACAAATATTCTTTTAACTAAACAAGCATTATATGGTGGTGGTTGTTCTGAAAGTATGAAAATTCTTTTTTTAAAAAAACAAAAAAATCATTTAGCTGTACATTATTTATTAAAAATATTTCAAAATATTATTCATGCTCAATATAATTATAATTATATTATTGATCGAATTCATGGTCATCTTTGGTATTTATTAGAGAATGATGAAATAAGTCAAACATGTGCTTGTGAATTATATTCAAGAACAAATCATTTAGATATTGAATGGGAAAATTTTTTTTTCTATTTTGATGATGAAAAATCAGAAGAAGAAGATAAAATTCAAGATAATAATGACTTTTTTATTAGAAATATATATCCAAAATATTTAGATAATTTTCATATGAGAACAAATGCTTTTAAAACAGCTGTTGAAACAGCGATTAATCTATATTTAACTAGTATTTGTTTATAATCTTTTCTTTTTTTCTAGATTTTTCTTTTTTTTTCTATTAATTATGCCGAAGGTAGATAATATTATAACTATCTAAATAAATTAAAAATATATATATATATACATTCGTATTTTAATCAAGGAAGTTTTCGAACGATCGGTGAGTCAATATGATGATATTCCATCATCACGTAAGTTGATATTTTTAACAACAAAAACAAAAAAATAATTAATTCAAAAAACAAAAATATTCAAATAGGAAGCAGTCATACATTAACAGCAATTGATAATCATTTATATTTATTCGGTGGTGAACATGATCCACGTGTAACAATTGATAATGATGTTTGGCAATTTAATGTAAATGATAATCGTTGGAAATGTTTGTCGGTTAATCAAGATGAACGACCATTACCAAGACTTGCACATGCAGCGGCTGCTGTAGAACATAAGTAATTTTATAGAAGATTATTAGAAATACGAGTTAATGATCATTTTATTGAATTTTCGATTTATGGAAAGATATAGAAAAATCCAAAAGAAAGAATTTTTGTTCATGAATAGATCTCTTGATCCCTAGAATATTCTAAAAGTTTCAGCTAAATCAGATGATTCCTTTTCGATATATTGAATACTGAAGAAAAGTTTGCTTTATGAGTTTTTGCTTTTGTTTTTGAATATTCAATATTTCGAGAAGGAACTATCCCCATTTTGATTGAAACTTCCAGAATATACTCCGAGTCAAAAGTTCAGATCAAAATTTCTTCTTTTTCATTTTTCTATATCTTGCAATAAACACTGATACAATAGTCATAACTGCATAAGAAAAGTCTATGAGGAGAAATCCTTCCAGGTTTTTTTCTAGCCTTCTACTTATGACCAAAAAAAAATCACTTCGACTACCTCGTGAGAGCTTTATTCATGACCGTTGTCTTAAATAAATCAGAAATAATTCATTTCGTTTATTGTGAAATAGAATTGTATAAGTAAAAAATGAATTAGGAATATCAGAATTCTCGGCCCTGAATGTTCCGTTCTCAAAGAACAAAAACGCATTATATGAACCATATTTTCTAGTAGTTTATATGTCTCTGTCTATCTTTTTAATATGAGATTGGTACGCGATCGGGATTCCTAGGAATGAATCACGAAAGTGGTATTACTAGAATGAATTATCAAGATTACAAAAAAATATATTTTCATACATATACAATGTTTGTATATAGTGATGAAGTATTTGTTATGTATGAAAAAAGTGCGATTGTCAAAGATCATTGTTCTCATTAGAGATGCACCAATTTCAATTCTTGAACTTGATTAGAATTGAATGTTGTAGGATTACTGATTTTGCATATATATTTACATAAATTATAAGGCTATCCCGCTCGTTTTTGATCATTTCTAATTGGAAAACTGGTTTTATATAGGATCACATCGCGCTTGCTTACGATCTCCGTCTAACTTTGTCTGATCGAGCTGAAAATTTCTTTTATGAGGTACCTTAGACTAAATCTCAGAGATGGTTATGACATTTTTTTCAAAAAACTTGCTTTCTTTTTTTTTTATGAGATAAATACTTAAAGGTTTGGATTCAAAATCGGAGTGTCGATGTTCAGGGCTCTGTAAATTCGGATAGGAAAGTCAAAAACAAAAACAACCAATTTCTCCTCTAGAGAATGCTTCCAAGTATCTGTGATCAAAATTCCAGTTCGATCAGACAAAATTGGATGGAACTCGTACGCGAGTCCAATGTAGTCTTATGGAAAACTAGATGTTTGAAATTTTTTCCTCTTCCAGAACCAAAAATGAGGGAAAGAGGCATCCTTATTAATATGATTCCAAAATTCGAAACTGAAATGGGCACATCCGTAGGATTCATTCAAGATAATAATCTTTCTATAGACCTGCAAGAATTTCTTTTTTTGAGTTTATGCACTAGGAAATTCAAAAAATGATTTCTCATTCTTTAGAATCTATCTCTTGTATTTTTTTTCTCATAATTCAATTAGATTATTTATTTTCGGTGGTCGTACATCAGTAAATATGACAGATGATACTTTAGATGATTTATATTCATTTGATATTGATCTTAATCAGTGGACACAATATAAAAAAACATCGGATATTGAAGAATGGCCAGAAAAACGAAGTTATCATTCAATGGTTAGTAGTGCTGATCAATTATTTATTTTTGGTGGTTGTGGTGAACAAGATCGTTATAATAATTTATGGCAATATGATACTTTTAATAAACAATGGAAACAATTACCTTCACCTAATTCTCAACAACTTGTACCACGTGGTGGATGTGCACTTGTTTATCTTAATAATGCACTTTGGATATTTGGTGGTTTTTGTGGTCGAGAATTAGATGATATAGCTAGTTTTGATTTAGTAACAAATTCATGGACATATATAACGGATGCTAAAATTTCACCACGTAGTGTTTTTGCTTTTGGATGTCTTGATGGTATACTTATAGGACATGGTGGTGAACAAGATCCTTCTGAATTAGGTCATGCTGGTGCTGGTGAATTTGCTGATGATGTTATTATAATTCAACCAGTGAAAGAAAATGGTGAATGTGTACAAACAAAACGACTTGAATTTTCAAAACCAATTGGTGGAAAACGTGGTTGGCATGCTGGTGCAACAATAAAAAATACATTTTATATTTTCGGTGGAAATACAACTGAAAATAAACGTGATAATACATTACTTGCGATTGAATTTCAGTAATGTTTTCTTTTCTTTTTTTTTTTCTTCTTGATTTGTGTAGCGTTCAAAAGTAGAATTTCAAAAAAGAAAAAGAACAGTCAAAAAATTTATTATTTTATGTTTTCATTATAGTAAATAAAAAAAAAGATTATACGTGTTTGCTAAATTATTAGTAGAAAGAAATATGATGAATTTTTCGAACAAAGTTCAGAATAAGTGTATAGAAAAATAATCAAGTTATTCTACCTGAATTATCCCGTCAAGATTTATTGAAGTGCCTTTTATCAAGTGATCCAACTCTATTCAAGACGAAGAATCCTAAAGTTGGATCAGATAGAATATCCTAGACAATCCAACGACTGAAAAGTATTAGACACATCTAGAATCTGATGGGACCATGTTGAATTTACATCTGGATATTAGACATTGTTTGACCAGCACCTTACTCTTCCATCGTCAAAAGTATCAACTCAATAGTTATCCTATTCTGAAAACGGTTTGTATCTCTGAACTAACATTAAAGCTTCATCCGAAAGTTCTTGCTAAATTAGCTAAATAAGAACAATTTGATTTGCGTCAAAGTATACAATACCAACTGTCGGATAATATTCTTAATGATGATAATGAATAAACATACTCTTCATTAGCTAAAAATGAAATTATTAGTATTGATTTGCTTGAAAAAGAAAATTCAATTACAAATAGTCAAATTCAACAATCGATCAATCAATTTGATAAAACCAATAAGTTAAATAATGTAAAACTAATATATACTTGTATTTGTTTACAGATGTGTTGGATGAAGATGAACAAGTCGCTGATGGATACTGCTACATTCACTTTATCATCTGATATTATGTTTTATTGAACATACATATAAAACTTGATCATTCAGTTTAAAAATTAAAGATTTTATTATTGTTCAATTATATCTTTATGTTAATTTAAATAAAATATGGTTAGCCAATATTATTTTTGATTTAATAGAACAGGATAAGAATTATTTTATTCATTTTGAAGTAAGGACGCAACAGTGACGATGATCACGAGTTTGAGATAGAGCCCTGCACTGATCTAAACATGCACGTATAGAATAATGGTGAACCCATGATAAAACTATGGTGATCTTAGATGCATTTCGACGTTTCCTATCGGGGAAGATCTATTACGAGAAAATAGCTAAATTTTATAAAACATGACTAAATCGTGAGAATTAATCTTTTCTCGAACGAGAAAATCGATATCAATCTAAGATAACCATATGTTTATCATGCGTTCACCATTTTTACGGTAACATGTTTCGATCAGTGCACCGTCACTGTTGCATCCTTGTTTTGAAGTTTGTTCAAAATACATTATTAATACTAGTTAGTCCAAAACAAAATGAATACATTCCATTAACTGTAAATTAGCAGCAATATTTCCAATAATAGCTATATCAAACAAAAACAAAATGTATAGAGTGTCTGTTATTTCTGATCTACATGCTGTTGTGCACGAAGTACAATTTGCTTTCAAAGATCTTTCAGTGTATTTTTGGAAACAAAATAAAACTCAATGCAACCTTGTTCTAATTTTACAAAAAGAACTTCACTATTTTAATGTACTTCGTTAACCCTATGGCATACATCGGTTCTTGTGGTTGTCATGTAATTACTCAATCAGACAAACAATAAAAATAAATTTGCAATAACGGATCGAATTTCAATGAAAATAAAATCTTTAAAAAACGCACATTTTTACGCGTTTAATTTCTGAATTCAATGCACCTGTAGGAGGTATGGCACAGAAGACACAACAAAAGAGATCTACGATCACACCCTATACTTCATTATATCTATTGACTGTTGGTGTCAACTCCATGCATGTATTATAAACGTTTCGTTTCACTGTCTAACTTTAGTAATTTCAAATAGTAGAACAATTTTTTTCGACGTTTGTAAGATGCTGTCAATTCGAACATCAAGTCATTTTTTTCCATCTTTTTTTTATACATGGTTCGATAGAGCATGGGGTACTGATCACGAAAAACTAGTTCTTATTGCTAATGGACGTTTTTTTCAAGGCGAGAAAAGTCAAAAATTTGGAAGGTATTGTTTTTCTTAAAAAAAATGCACATTGTTTTTGAAATGTGCAAAATTGTCTGTTTTGCTCTTTTTGTCAACTACTGAGAGTATTATTCTTCAAATTCATCGTTAAAAGACTAATTATAGACAAGATGTTAAATTGATTTTAACCTAAAAAGCCTTTCGATGATCGTACCTCGAATTGCGCCTATGGGAATTCTTATAGGTCATTTTTGTAAACCTATCTAATTTTTTTTTTATTGGTCAAACATGTTATCTTGTTTGATTCATCATATCACTAGTCACATAAGTACGCATCATCTTTTCTTTTTTCTTTTCTTTTGTTTGTTGAAAAAAATACATTTTACTAGTACTATGGGAAAAAGGAGAAGATCATATTTAAATTAAATGATTACTTTTTACTCAATCCAAGTGAAAATGTATTAAAATAAGTAGAAATTAATCAAAAAACTAGATCGTGATACTTGAGAAGATCTCTAGAAAACATTTCCTTTAACAAAATATAGTATTCCGGATTTGACCGGTATTTCATAATTTATATTTGCACAAACTGATTACTTCTCATCATATTTTATTACTTTACATGCTCTTCGATGTAATTTATAAACACATACATGCAGAAAAAGAATATTGAAATAAAAAAAAATGTTCATTAGTTTTCATCTACGATGTGATTGGATTGATGCAATACAGTGGTTGTGGGGCTAGCGCAGGTCAGCCTACCATTCTCATCTTACTCATACCCACATCCCTTTTTTTTTTCACCACAAATTGTGATATATGCATTCAGAATAGATAAGTCATAATATTTTATCATTATCTCAAGTATTGACTCATTCTCTTCTTCAGAGAATCAAAATACGTGTTACGTAGTTTGTTATATCTCTTATATTTTAAACATGACATCTTAACAATGACTATAATAAAGAAAAGAAAACAGTATGATAAAGATGTTAAGTATCACTTTTGTTTTAGTGTATTTTTGTTTTTGAATGAATAATGGGTTGTATATTTTCAAAATTTTTTTCTCAAAAGCAACCACAATCGTCATCATATAAAAAGTCAGACGAAATCATATTCACTAATATCAAGGATCAAAATGCATCTTGCTATGAACAATACGTACAACATTCCACGTCAGTAGCACCAATGCCTCCAGAACCAGAACTATCACTACAACCACCACCAATACCACCAAAACCTCCAGGACTAAGTGTATCGATGCCTGCACCACGATCATCAATATCAATATCTCAAAATGGTCGATCTCGTGTACAACTTTATACTCCTATTTATATTGCTATTGAAAATTATTCTAAAACGAAAGATACTTATATGTCATTTGAATTAGGCGATGAAATGGAATTAATTGAAGAAATTAATTCTTTAGAATTGCATGTTAATCATTTACGTTCTGGTCTTTATGGTATTATACCGAAAAATCTTGTTCAACTCAATAAAGAAACACCACTTCGATTAGCTGTTAATGATGCAGGTATAATACAACAATGTCTTATGCAATATAACGTACCCGGTGCTTATCTTATTCGACGTAGTGCTACAAATCCAGAAGCTTTTGTATTAAGTATTTTACAATTTAATGAAAAACATAATACTTTATATTGGCATTATTTAATTTGTATTAATCAATCGAATAATTGTTTCTATTTTGCAAAAGAAGAATCATTTAAAAATATTTTTTTTTCATCATTTCAAAAACTTATTAATGATGAACGTGTACGTAATTTTATTCCTTTAACTGATATTCTACCAGATTCAATTGAATTTGAAGAAGAAATTTGGAAAATACCATTTGATGAATTAAATATTGAATATAAAATTGGTGAAGGTCAATTTGGTGAAGTATTTCATGCAAATTGGCATAAAGATCAAAGAATAATATCTGTAGCTGTAAAAAAATTACATGTTTATACATTTACGAAGACGATTAAACGAGAAATTGAAGTTATGAAAAAATTAACAAATTTATATAT